CAACCTCGAGAGCGCGAGCACCGTCCAACATGGCCGCGACAAGCGCCCAAAGTCGCCCGCCATCGACGACCCCGCTCCCAAGAAGCCGCGACACACGAGGTGGGTCCTGCCTCCTACTTCTTTGGGGCGCAAACGAAGCAATCGACTTGTTTCGTAGCAGCGAAGCGCTGCAAGGCGGCTTTGAGTTTAGCGGCGACCAACCAAGCGGCTTTGAGTTTGGCGATGGTCAACACGACGACTTTGAGCTTGGCGGGTGGTCGCCGACCGAAGAGACCAAAGAGCCCGAGTCTCAGGCTTCGAGTCGACCAGGCGGCGCTCCGTCACCCGAGATTTCACGTTGCGACTTTGGTTCGACCCGCCGCGACGCGACGGTCTATCCCGATTCTGAAGTCCAGTCGTTCGTCGCCACCCCCGACGAGACCGAGCTCTCGGGCGCCGAGCAGGTACGCGGGGTTCTGTGGAGCGACCACGGGCTCATGGTGTCTATAGGCGGAGGCTGTGGCCGAGCAGCAGCGTCGCGGCGCCAAGAAACGCCAGGTAGGCCGCCGTCGCGACGATCCAAGCGTGCACCGTCCCGTACGACGACGTGCCTTCATGTAGGGCCGCCCGCCCGGCAAGGCGAAAAGCTTGCGTGGACCTGCATTCAGCGCCCGCAAGAAGATGCACCGCATGCCAGCATTGCCCACCGACCGCTGTACGCGCCAGCAAGGACCAGCGCCGGCGCCGCTGCCGCTGCCACCAGGGCGCCGAGACGAGGGGCTCACGCCCGAGCAGAAGATTGCGCAAAATGCCCGAAGGGACGCTGCTACCAAGGTACGCTTCCTTTGCTCATGCGTGTGTACCATGTCTGTCTTCGCAGAACACGATGAGACTGAACGAGATCAAGAGACGCGAACAAAAGAGCATCCGGGCTGCGACGCCCGAGGTGCGATGCTAGACGATAGTATACAGTCGCCGCATGCGTCTTTGGTAGGAGCGCCCAGCGTTGCGCGAGTACCAGCGCACGTGGCCCTCGGTCGGCACCTACATCTGCGATTTGTTCCCCAACTCAAAGTGGGTCGATCCCGCTTCGGACGAGCACACGTACGTTTGGTTATATCACGTGCAAGACGGTTGGATACAGTGCTGGACTAGGTGCAGCATCTGCTTTGATCCCTACGAGCCAAACGACGTCGTCGTGCGCTTGCCGTGCGCGCACGTTTACCATCGCCACTGCCTTCAAGGTTGGCTCCTCAACCACGACAAATGTCCGCTCTGCATTCGCCCAGTCATCACTTATAAATAGTGAAGGACAACAGTATTTGCATTCGATTTTCGATTATTTGATATTGCATGGGACTCGTTGTTGCATTTTTAATATACTCGTACCGGTGCCCGCTCGTTCATAAAGCGAGCGCCCGGAACCCAGCCTGCCGGCACCGTGCAAACACCAGGCCTGACCCAGCGCGTGCTTGACACGCTGCTCCATTAGGGTTGTGGGTATTCTTTGCGACAACCATACGAAAACACATACGATTTGCATCGCGAACGTGTGGAAT